ACACACACACACAGTTACAATGGGAAAGTTACTGTGTAATGGGTCAAGCACATTGCTCAAAACAGTGGGGAAAAAATGAAAAAGCACCAGTTCAAGAGTCCTAGTGCCTGAGCCCCCAACATGTGACACGACAGTGGATCCCTTCCCTAAGCTCACTGGGTTTCCCAAGGAGAAGACAGTTTTCCTTCATCTTCTCTACTCAGACCTAGGGAGTGGGAAGGTGCAGGCTGTGCTCCCAGAATAGTCACTTGAGTCACAAAGTGACAAAATAGTCACTTGAGTCACTTGAATATTCTCATGCAAGACACCTCTCTATCAGCTCATACACCTGGGTGCCCACATCCTCTCCCTATGTTCAGGACTGTGAGAAAAAAAATATTTCTAAAGCCCAAGCCAATTTCCCTAAAGCCAGCGTCCAGTCGGACACTCTACTTCCCTACTTCTTTGTGGGGCACTGCTTTCCTATCACTTTGTTTTGAAAAAATATTTTATTATACTTGCACTTGTTTCTTTGCTTTTTATATTCACGCTAAGCCAAGTAAAGAATCCACCAAGCTTTGCTGGTGACACTCAGCACTACACCTTCTGTTAAAGAAACTATTTCAAAAATTATTAAAGACTAACAACTGAAACACCAGCTTCATGGTCTGATCAGGGACCAATCTTGTCTTATCACACTCCCCTGGTGCTGTTCGGCAGACAGATTTTCCCAAGAAGAAAAACCAGGGTGTGCAAGGACCTGAAGGGACCTCAGACCTCCACAGGGGCAGGCAAGAGTCAAATGCAAGTGAATTCAGCTTCAGCAACTGCTGCTCAGAGAGGACAACCGTCCTCTGGGGACAGAAAGGCACAGTTCTTCTCTGAGTTGTAGCTGTTGCTGGGTGTGTGTGTGTGGAGAGGGGGAGGTTCCTCCTCAGACTCCCATCCGGGCCAGCGCAGCCAAGCAACGCTCCTGGATAGGGGGACACGGCCGGAAGGCAAGGCCCGAGGTGCTGCCAGGGCCGTGGGTGTAAAGTGCTAACTGTAATTTCTCTAGCTTCCCATGAAAATGCCAGCAAATGTCTTCATCACTCAAAGGTCACCGATGCTGGCTTCTCAAGACACTTCCCAGCTAAGACTGGACACCAGATGGATGTGTTAGGACCATGGTGTGGATACAGCAGCTGCTCTGGGCAGACACTGGCAAAAGAGAAAAATATTTTTACTGCTCTGTTCTGGCCTCCCCCCTCTGCGGGCAGCTGATGCCGTTCTTATCTGGAACTTGATAGGACGAAGCAAATAATTACAAATGAAAAGGTTATTCATAATTTTTAAATGAGTTAATTAGTAAACCCAGTCAGACTCACTCATTACGGTAATTAATAATTGATTATACTTGAAATTAAGCACAATTTTTCATCAAAAATCTAATTAAATATCTGTGCTTGTGCCTGCTGATTACATCAGTCGGTCCCCTGGGAAAAAAAAAAAGTCGTCTTTGTTAAGGATATCTGCGTTCAGCTGAGACAATTAATTTGAGTTTTAGTAATTGATGGGTCCTCCCCACTTGGTCATCACAGCCTGTCACTTTCCTCACCAGCCCCATGTGGGAGGAGCTCAGCAAGGGTTGTCCCCACCCCTGCCCCAGGCCTGGCAGACAGGTGGAGGTGGCCCTCACACCTGCATATCTGCAAGGTCTTCCTTCGCTTTCACTTCCTCTCAGCAGATAGCCAGCCTTTGCAGGTAGGGGTGGTGCTTTTGCTTGCGCTGTATGACAGGGTTGGGAGGGGAAGGCAGCATGGCTGGGTGCTGCATCGAAGCTCTTCCCCAACACCTGGCTGAGTCTCCAGGTAACGGACGGATGGGAGGCTTCCGGTCTGCCTGTCTCGCCTGACTCCTGGCTAGGTAGGTGTAGGCCCAGGATGGATGTGTCCACAAAGACAGCATTTTCTGAGAGGTCATGCTTATTCTCAGCAAGGACATTGACCTAGTGATCTGTCCACTCTGAACATGAGTCAGCCTTGAGTCCCCATGCGCCCACCCATAGTGTCACAGTATCAGTTGACAAAGCCATCAGCTTTCCTGGACTGGTGAATGACAATTTTCTGTTAGATCTGCCTTCTGCTGCTTGCTGTGTCCATCTTTACTTATCTATCTATTATCATAGATAATAATAATTATCTATTATTTATTTATTTATCTGCAATGAGACCTCCAAGTTCCTCTTCCTAATTGGATACATGTGGCTCTCATATCATTCAAATGTTTGCAATAGATTTTTCTTTTTTGGTCATTATAGTTTCCTCAGTCTGAAATGCCCTTCTTGTGTGTCTATTTCCAGTGAACTTCTACTTAGACATTCAGTGCAAGCATCAGTTACCCAAGGGGCCTTCCCTTGTCCTCCTGGATGGGGCATCCAGAACCACAGTGCAGACAAATTCCTGTTTCAGTTACCTGCTAATGTGGATCCCTCCTTTCAACTACACACACCCTAAGGGTCAGGGATCACCGCTTTAACCCTAGTAATTAGTGCTCCATAGGGTTTGCTGGATGAAAAATAAAACTCAAAAGTCACAGATTCAAGCACTACCAATGTTGGAAGAATAATGAGAAACATACAAAGGCCAGCATTCTTGTGTAATAGGTGAAGCTGCTGCTGCCAGCTATGTCAGCATCCTAAACAGGTGCCAGCTCAAGCTCAGGCTGTTGTGTTTCCTATCCAGCTCTCTGCTAATGAGCCTGGGAAAGCAATAAGGAATGGTCCAAAACCCTGGGCTTCTATGCCTATGTGGGATATGTGGAAGAAGCCTCTTGCTCCTAGACTTAAACTGGCCCAGCTCTAACTATTGTGGCAATTTAGGGAGTAAACCAGCAGATGGAAGATCAATCTCTCCCTTTCTGTAATCCTTTCAAATAAACAAAAAGAAATACTTAAAAAGAATATACTAGAGTGAAAACTCTCAGACATTTCTTAAATCTTATTCTTGCTAAGTGGTTGTTGAGTCCTCTTTTTATCCTTCCTCTCACAGGGAGCTCACTGTCTTTAGGTTGAAGGCTGGTCATGCATTTTCATTCAGTACGAGGGGGAGATGTCCCATGAAGCAGAAGAGGAGAGTTTAATCACACTCGTATTCATTCTTTCTCTCTGAAGTAGGCTACCCAGCATAAGCTTCAAGACTCCAAGGCAAAATAAGTCAATGTCCAGTGGTACCGTGTCTTCAACAGTGATACTCCTTGTCCAAAAGCCCATTCACTCGGGAATGAGGGCATCAGTAAAAAGCAAGAGCTGTGTCAGTGACAGCAGAGGACAGGATATCAGTGATGTTACAGGAAAATTTCATGCCAGGTGATGGTGCAAGAACTCTATGAACCTCACCATACCTACATCGATGGTCACCTCTCAGAGCCTGAATGGGCCCTCATCGCTCCCCGTTCGGCTGTTTCTTTTATTCAATAACCCACAGCAGGAATGGAAAATACCTTGTAAATTGTCCATATATCCAACCCTGAGGCCATGACAGCCATCGTTAATCAATTACATGGATTCTATTCCATCAAATCTGGATACCACATCAGGTCCTCAGGGTCCTTTTCAACAGCAGTTAAGCAATCACAGAAGAGGAGATGAGACCTGTGTGCCATCCAGGTGTTGGGGCCATGACAGCCTCTAACCCAATCCCTGTAAGAGGCAAAGGGACCACATACCAGAGGAGGCTTAGTACAACTGGTGACACAAACAAAAGTCTCCCTGTGTGCAGGGGTGCCATCTTCTCGATGTGTCATTTTTATGAAATTTGGGAATCTCATGAGGGAAGTGATTCTAGAGCTTACATCACCCCAATCCCTATCCATGCCTGAATTTCTTTTCTACATCCTGAACCGGGGGTGGCTCCTGCTGTATCAATCATTCTTGGTGACAGCACTTACTAACTCTCAGGACAGCCTCTTTCTTCTTGCATGATGGCTTTGCTTATTACCAAGTTCTCCTTCACAATGGTAGCACTCTTGACCTTTGTCTGTGATTTCTCTTATGATTTACTGGACTTGTCCTGCGGGAATTCTTCTCACTTACAGAAATATCACAGAATGCCTCAGCATGAGCTTGAGGCCCTCTCAAGCTGGCCCTGCCCACCTTAAGTCTTAGAAGTGTAGAAGGGGAGGGCTGCAAAGGACAAAAAAAATAAAGCCAACCTCCTTATGGATGCCTTTTCTAGCAGGTTGATTTACATAGGGCAACTGACTTTACACAGCACCCACAGATCTCCCCAGGTCAGCAGCTTGCCTGGAAGGAGACCAAAGGTTGGGGTCAGAAGCAGGAAAGCAAATCGCTATAAAACACTCCAGAAGAACTACATGGTGGGAGACACACTGTTACAGCCTGGCAGGCAGAGGGTCAGGAGAAGCATGCCCTGTGCTTGTACAGGACCTGAGATCAGGTCAGAGGTACTCAGTCAATGACACTTTGGGTCTCTCTTCCCCCAGCCAGCTGCGGTTCTTCACAGGGACCCACTTCCACTCTGATGAGCCTTCCCTCTTCCTGATTTTGGGTCCCGCTATACCTTCAGACCACCTAGCCAGACCCTCCCCTTCAAATATGCTTTTATGGCAATTTCTCTCCAAACACAGCACACCCCCACCTGCTCCCTGCTCCTCCCCAAAGCCATGTGGAGCTGAGTAGAGAAGCTTGTCTGCTGTCCTGCCTTGCTAGTTTATCAGTTCATGTGTTGTGACATCCATACATGACACTTAAGGGCCAGTCTCGCTGAGCACATACATTCGACATCAGGCATCCAACACAAAAAGCACAAGTTGAAAGCTTCCTTCTTTGGGTAAATTGCCAAGGGAAAGGAAGAGGGCTCCAAAGAGCTGGCTTTGACAGTGTGGAGTGTGGGCCAAGCCAGCTCTCCAGGGCTGCATGGTCCAACCTCTGTGTATTCCCACAGCTGTGCTAGTGAGGGGCTTAGGTGCCCCCCAACTGGGACAGAGGGCAGCCAAGGGTAGCCGGAGTGAGGGATGCTTACCCACAAAGTATGCCAGGAGAATGACCAGTGTGGCTGAGATGATAATGGCACTCAGGGCCGCACACTTCCAGTTGCAGTACTTGGAGGGCTTCTTGAGGTTGAAGGCTGGCCGGGCAAAGGTGCTGCGGGGCAGGGGGCGGGGCGGGGGTGAGTACACTGTGCTGGATGTCAGGGGGTACCCTGGCGACGTGGTGCAGAAGAGTGGGGAGGTGCCTCCAGGCTTGAAGAGGAAGTGTCTGTGGAGGGAGAAAAGCCAGAGGGCATCAGGTTCTGCCAAATGACCAGATTCCACCTGGAAGATGAAGGCAGTAGTTAAGAAGCATGCATAAGAACCGAGAGAGAGAGAGAGAGAGAGAGAGAGAGAGAGAGAGAGAGAGAGAGAAAGGGAGAGAAAGGGAGAGAGAGAGATATCACTACAGAGAATATGGCAGGGGCGAGTAAAAGGAGAACCGCGGACCAGATCACAAAACAGGGCTCACGAAGACATGTTGCCACAGACACGGATGGGACAGCCCTATCCGTGGGAAAACCCACCCAAAATGGGAAGCCCCACCAGCCCAGGTGGAGACAAAAAGTGTAGCCTGCTCCATAGACTCTGGCAGCAGTGGCATCCTCTTTCTGGGAACAGTGGGGTGTGGGATGCCATGCCCTAGGGAACAAGTTCCTTCCTGTAAAATCATTAAAGCTGCTTGGAAAGTGTCTAAAATCTTCTGTTACCCCTGGGCATAAGGGGACGTAAGTTTTTTCCTTTTCCTCTAAAACCTACATTGCCAGTTTCTCTTGGTTGGGGACTGGAATAACCTTCTTGCTAGAGGGTGCTTGTTTGGGGTTGAAGTAAGGTTGACCACTAAGTTCTGGTCATAGTCAAGAGGTTCCTGGTGGCTATTAGACAGCTGACAGCTGTGAAGGGGCTGATGCACGCCAAGCCCCAGGTGGAAGGAAGCCCATGCAAGGGCAGATGGGCTGCTGTATCCCATGGCCTAGCTCAAGTGCCCAGGGCAGCAGGGCACGGACAAAGCACATGGTTGTGGCCAAACTAGACGTCAGGAAATCCTCTGGAGCTTGGCCCTTACCACGGCCATGGGAGAACTTACGCATGGCCTAGAAAGTGGGCTGTATCCCTGCTTAGGGTACACCCACCCCTGTTGGGATACAAGATGCCTTGGGTCACAGAATACACATAATACAGAGCCACAAAATAACTGTTACATGAGATGGTTTTAGAATGGTGAAAGCAGCCAATGAGATGCCAAGAGCTGCATATTAACCAGAATGCTGTTTAATATGCTGGGGCATAGGATACTCCAAGTTGAACATGGACTTGGGGATTAGCATGCAATAGCGCATCACCTTCCCCAGGAGGGCCAAGGAGAGAGGGTCCACATGCAAGTGCAGAGGTTGGGGGAGAGGACACACAGAGGAGAGGAGCATGGGGGATGGCACCTACCCGTCACTGTAAGCCCCATCATGGCGGGAGGCGCTGAGAATGTCCATCTCAATGAGGTTGTCCTGCAATGTCCCTAGGAATGGCTGCTTGCCTAGGTTTCTACACACACATGGAGACATGAATGAAGCAATGAGTCATGCATCGATGAAGGGGGGTATAGAGAAACACACCAAGTGGCTGCTTGGTGCAGCCGTGCGTGAGGCTGGCGGGACACAGTTTTGAGGCGATGGGTCAGTGTGCAAGCCACATGTGCAAGGGGTCCACCTGGCACTGAGCAGCCAGAAGGAACATCCGCTATATGAACCCGAGGGATTGGCAGTTGTGTGTGACATCAGTCTGGCACTGAATTAGGTACATTACACCATTTCTCTCAAATCTTCACAATAGGTCCAAGTTACCAACACCACCACCCTATTCTACAGATGAAAAAAGAGGAAACAGGACTTGACAAGGCCACCAGCCAGCCAGGTGCCTGGCAGGAATCTGAGCTCGGATTTGTCCAGTTGTTAAAGCTGGTACGCTCTCTACTTGATGTGCAGACAGCACCTACAGACACTCCCTTTCATGGTCTGAAGAGCAAGGAAGCCAAGTAGTTCTGGCAGTTGCCTTCCACAGCAATGGGCCTCCTACTGGAGTTGGCTCCAGGATACCCCAGGCGGGCTGTGCAGTGTGGGCTGCCAGCTCTTCCCTGAGAGCTTTACTCTGCAAGCATCCCAGGGGACAGTGAGGGGAAAAGGCATTGCAGATTAGAGGCTGCGGCCATGAAGCAGCCATGAAATGCTACTGGGAGAGTCATCCAGTGCCACCTGGGCCCAGCAGCCTATTCTGAGCCCCAAGACCTCCCAGGGTGCATGGGCGGAGCTGCAGGGCCTTCATTTGTATCTTTAGGCAGGTAACCCTGCTGAAGTCAGGCCTGGTGGCTCAGCCAGAGACAAATAGCTCAGAAACCAGAATGATGTGGCTTTAGGTCCCACATTCACCATTCATGGGTAAACCAGTCTTAGAGCTTCCCTAAGAGGCAATGAATGCTCACCTGGCAAAACCTAAAGTACCACTTGAATCTGATCACATCTGTGCTCTTGACACAAGCTTTTAGAATAAAACTGAAGTCCCAACTTGGCCCACAAGGTGTTGCCTTCTATGTCTAAGCTCAGGTTGTTGGGTATAGCAGGCACACGGTCAGTGCTTAATTGAAGAGGGCAGCAGGTGATGTTTCCTGTTACCTCTGCATCCCCTCTGCTCTTCCACTTCAGGAGGGAACATCAGGCTCCCCCACAGCCAGTCCAACGAGGGTGAGCTGACCTAAGATCTCTAGATGCCTCCCCGAGTCCTGAGGCCGACACAGCCCCCAGCACACACGGAAGCGTGGTCTGCATCAGAAAGTCAGAGTTAACCCCTGAAACTGTCAGAAACATTCATCGATAAAAGACAAAATAAAGAAAAAAAAATCAAATTGCTAACCATGCCTGACTCCAGAGTGATCCTTTTTCTTTTTTCTAAGATTTACTTATTTTTATTGGAAAGTCACATTTACAGAGAGGAGAGACAAAGATCTTCCATTCACTGATTTGCTCTCCAAATGTCCACAATGGCTGGAGCTGAGCAGATCCGAAGGAGTCAAGAGCTTTTTTTGGGTCTCCCATATGGGTGCAGGGGCCCAAGGCTTTGGGGACATCCTTTATTGCTTTCCCAGGCTGCAGACAGGGAGCTGGATGGGAAGTGGAGCAGCTGGGATTCAAACCAATACCCATATGGGATCTCAGCACATGCAAGACAAGGACTTTAGCCACTAGGCTACCATGTCGGGCCCTCCAGAGTGATTCTTATTTGAGTTTTGTTAATTTGAAAAGAAGCAGTTATTTTAAAAAAGGGTGAAAGTTGACTATCATCTTCTGAAAGTACAACTCTGTTAGAATAAGGGAGGAAGCAATGAAAATAGACTAAAGCAGGGGCCGATGTTGTGGCATAATGAGTAAAGCAGTTGCATGCAGTGCTAGCATCCCATATAGGTGCTGCTTAGAATCTTGACTGCTCCACTTCTGTTCTAGCTTCCTGCTGATGGCCTGGAAAGCAGTATAAGATGATCTAAGTAGTTGGATCCCTGCCTCCATGTGAGAGACCTGTAGAAGCCTCTGGCTCCTGACCCAGCCCTGTTTCGGTCATTTGGAGAATGAATCAGCTGATGGAAGATAGCTCTCTTTCTGCCACTTCTTTTTTCTCCTTAACTGACTTTCAAATAAAATAAATATCAGGGGGAAAAAAGATTCCTAGAGTGTTAGGTGTCTTATCTCCTGCAAGAAAGGACATTCTTGTTGAATGTGGTTTTGCTCTAGTGTTTACCCTTTAGGTCACCTGAGAAGAGGAGCTGATGTGAGCACTTGCTGAGGGGGTTGGCTATGCAGGATGCTACCTCTGCCTCAAAGACTTGCCCTTGACTTGTGAAACTTTGATCTGGCTCAGATGAGCTGGCCTCATTTGACTGGAGAGGAGACTGAGGCTCAGAAAGATCTATACACTGCTGGCAGCCTGACCATGATCATTTGAGAGGCCTGCTAACACAGCCTACCCGTGGCTGGCATCTGGGAGTCATGAAGGGTGCCTATCCCACTGGCACAAAGCATTTGGCTGTGTTTTTCTTCTGCATGCCTGGCATTTGAGTATTTGCCAGAAAGTGTTTGTGTGCCTGGGCCTGGAGGCTGTCACGAGCAGCCCTGATGGGCACCATGTCCCATGGGTTGTCACAATTTAGCACATGGGGAGTTTGATGCCTCCTCTGTGACTCCCTAAGAAAGAATTCTGGAAGCTTATGTCTCATTTGAAGGTTTTCTTGCCCCTGGATTTAGTCCTTTGCTGATTTTCTCTTTGTACCCCTTTTCTCTTCCCTTTGCTAATTTTTGTTGTACCCATTCGCCATAATAAACCAAGAGCATGGCTACGTGCGGAGCCTGGGAAGTCTTTTAGCCCATCAGTGTGGACCCTGAGCACATTGTCTTAAGGCAGAGTTGTGAGGATGAAGGGGTAAATACAAGTGCAGCACCTGGCTGACCCACTGAAGGTTCTAGAATGCTTGCTATAGTTGTTACACCCTGCTTTCTGCCCCAGCATTCCCTCTGTGTGAACATTGACTGCAATGCCTGCCTTCACTAATTTATTGGCCTATCTCCCTTAACGGGTCCTGGGCACTGGGGGAGGGCAGTGTGCTCTGCCTTACACAGGTTTGGGGCAGAATCCCCTACTGACAACAAGGCTGCCCACCCCAACTCTGCGCTGTGGGCCATTCTGGGAATCACACCAGGGCTAGTCTAGACACCACCAAGTGAGCCCTCCCCTTGAGGATGGGCAGGACTATTCTCCATACTCAATGTGAGGACACACGGGCCTCTGGCTTCCATCCAGGCTTGATTTGAGATGAGATGAGCCAGGAGAGAGGGCTGGCAGCCCTGGCCTTGTCTTTCACTCCCTTCCACAGGAGGTGGGCAGGTTATTAATTAGATAGTCCCTATGAAATCAATTATGCATCTGATGCTTGCAGAGTACAGGAAAAGTCGATTAGGGTATAGGAGGCCCTGAGCACATGGCTCTGACTACAGTAGATCACAGATGCATCTGTTGGGCTTAAAGTAACACCTTAGCTCAGCTCCAGGGAGCACAGCAAGGCCCAGGCTGGTCCCTGGGAGAAGGGGAGAGAGGAAGCTCAGTTAACCCTGAGAACTGACAGGGGTACAGTCAGTTCAGAGAAAGGAGTACAGAGTGTGTTTAACAAAGTCTTCATTGTCTTTGGACCTTCTGCTAGCCTATCTATTCCTGCCAGTGGAAACTCAAAATCCCTCCTGGTCATTCCACTAGCCATGGTGGTATCTGCTCAGCTATTTACTTGGGAAACAACATGGACAGTTAGGGAAGGACTTGTGACTTTCTCTGGCACCAGCAGGCCTTGTTCTGTGGGGTTTGTCCCAAAGCTGTTCAGGAAAACACCAAGACAGTCTTGCTCCATTGACTTCCAGGGCTTTGCTGGGATGGTGCCCATCTCGAATCCTCCCATCCTCTCCTGCTCTACCTGGGATTCTCCAGCTTGCTCTTCAACTCCACATCACAGAGGGATGGCAGCTCCTGGGAAGCATTCCCACCTCCCCCACTCAAGTCCCAGGGGAGCCTCATTCTTCCATTCATTTAGTCTACCACTCATATGTTTCTATCTGCATGCTACCATGTATCACACAGCCATCAGTGGTCTGTCCCATGCTGTGACAATGGCAATGAAGACTAGGCTCATCTGCTATGAACTCTCTCACAGTGTCTATCCTTTGCAAATACCTGTTCTCTGAAATGCTTTACCTGTTAGGCGAATAATCACTTAATAACTAGTACTACATGATAAGTAGTACCAATTGTATGTAGATACTATAATAATGTAACTGCACATTAGCCTTACATGGCCGTGTGGTGGGTTAAAGATGGCTCACATCATTTGAGACCTCTCTCCTGAAGAAGTAGGGCTTCCTGTCCCCTTGAAGGTGACTGGTCCATGATGGTACCAACCAACAGAATATGGGGGATGTGACACAGCTGCATGTCAGACCTTGAGGAGACTCGATGACTTCTGTCTCAGTGCCTGGAGCTCTGAGCTCTGGAAGTTCAGCCAGCCTATGAGAGGATGGCTGTGTGGAAAGGCCCTGGGACTCCAGGGGGAAGACCTCCAATGAGCCTGCCTTTCAGCCCCTCACCCCAGGTTGTCAGGCATATGCACAAAGCTATGTTGGCATCTTCAGACTTGTCCATGTTCCTACTGAATGCCATGGACTGACCCCAGGAGAGAGAGTGACCATGGGGAGCATGAGCACAACCCAGCAGGTCCACCCTGAACTCCTAACTCAGTGTGAAGCTTACTCACTTGGATGCTTTCCAAGAAAATAGGAAATTTGAACAGATAATTTAAACAGGAAATCACTTGCACTGTCTTGATCTCAGCAGTGAAGACATTCAAGGTCATGGCTGGTAAGAAACCAAGTAGGGGATTGAACATAGGGTGTGGTAGCCTGGCACAGTGGTCTAGTGGCTAAAGTCCTTGCCTTGCACGAGCCAGGATCCCATATGTGTGCCAGTTCTAATCCCGGGGGCCCCACTTCCCATCCAGCTCCTTGCTTATGGTCTGGGAAGGCAACTGAGGACGGCTCAAGGCCTTGAGACCCTGCGCCCATGTGGGAGACTCAGAGGAGGCTCTAGGCTCCTGGCTTTAGGTCAGCGCAGCTTCAGCCATGGTAGCTATTTGAGGAATGAATCAACAGATGGAAGATCTTTCTCTCTGTCTCTCCTCTTCTCGGTTTATCTGACTTTCTAATAAAAATAAAATAAATCTTAAAAATAAAAAAGGGTGACCCTGGCCCTGACACCTGGGCTTTGAGCTACTCCCAGGTGACTGTATTAGTTGCTAAGTCCTGGAATATCAGGGCTATAGGAAGGAGAAGTAAAACCTGCTATCCCTTCTCTCAACTCCTCTGGTAAACAGGGGCTTCAAACATATTTCTGAATGAATTTTCTCACAGGGCTGATGTGGGAAGTATAGCAGGTGAAAAACAAACAGGAAAACACTTAAAAAAATATTGCAGCATCTAGATATCAAACAGGCACTGTGTTGTGTGAATCCCTACAGGGTCTCTCATCTGCTGCCTCCTGATTTGGTGACGTACAGAGTCTAATTCCAATGCAAACATTGAGAATCAACATTCAGGGATGTTGACGAACTTGCCCAGTGACTATGTGCTAAAGCCAGGTGGGATGGAAGAGGTACCTGCCCTTAGAGGCCACATTCCTTCCACTTTGCCACTCCGGACAGCTGATGAGTCCATCTGACAGACTTCACTTTGATCCCTCTTCGATTGTACCAGGGGAGCTTTGTGCCATGAATCAGGTAAGGCAGTATTAAGATTCAGACTTCTGATTGTATTTTTGGCTAAATTGGCCACCTGTCTGAATTTCAGGCCATCCTCTCAGTGCACAGAGCATTAGGGTCACAGTTAAGGTTTTCTTGAATGTTTCAGCTGGGGCTTCAAGAGTACGTAGAACATGGCCAGATCAAGGCCTGAGGAGGTAGGCAGCTCCATGAGAGGTGTATAAGAATCCGCCCAAAGGCACAGAGTCCCAAGGGGCCAGGGATTCCAGGAAATGTTGATATACACCCATTCATACACTAAATGTTAAATGTACAATTACATTTGTGCATGGATACATATAAAATGGTGTATCTGTGTATATGCATTCACAATAGTTACCCTGTCTGGTGGATTTTTTATTATTGCATTTCTACCTATTCTATGATGAGCATGTATTACTTGAGTAGTCACACACGAGGAAAAACAGAATGCAGTCTTATGGGGTCTGTGGAGTGGAAGCGAGAGGTGAGCAGTGGCTGCTTTGCAAACCCACTATGTGGGACCCCTTCCCACTGCCTGCCTGAATGTCTCCTTCCCTAGGCAAACTTGGATGATGCATCCAGCAGGAGGCACTACTTTCCTTCCAAGGGAGGAAAAGGAACATCTGACAGAGGGCTTGGAGGCCACGGCCATGCCAAGACTGAGACAGGTAGGCTTCTGCAGCCCCACACCACTCACTGAGCACATTGGGAATAAGCAGACCCCAGTAAGTTACCCTGGGATGGATGACTGACAATTAAGTGGCTCTGTGGTTGATGCCCACCAAAAGGCACCAATTCTAAATCATGCTGGCAGGAGCAATGTTAACCGGGAGACATGGGAACAGGGGCACTGATGGGATTACGCCTCTCAAAAATTTGCTTTTTGGAAAAACGCATCTCCAGGAATAAGGTGGCACAAAGTTCTCTAGCTGGACTACTCACGGTTGACATGGAAACTGTATAATCACAGTTCAGGCAGAGTCAGGTGTGTCCACCTCCCACCTACAGATCAACTTTGCTTTCTCAAATGTGGACTGACTTTTGTTCTCAGCTAGGCTGCCTTCTGCTCTAAGAAAGAAGTAGTTCCATGTGCACCAGCCTGTGACAGGCTATCTTCAGTCTAGAGAAGGTGAGGCGAAGCTTTGCCCCTTCTAAGACCTACTATTTATTTCACACCAGTAGCCAAGTTGATGGGCAAACCTCCTTGTTGTCTTCATGTTTTTCTGCATATTTTCCAATCATTATTAAAAAGAAAAGAACTCCACTTTTGGAAAAACAGTGGCTAAACAGAGGGAAAGTTGCTCTAGAACACTTATTATGAGCGAGGCAGGGAGAAAGGGCAGGGTGGAAGGAGATGGTGAGGAGATGTCATGTGGACCAAGGAACACAGGGATGCAAGGGTGTTAGGCAACTGAGGTGTAAATCCCAGCTATGCATCACCCACTCATTTGACCTCATTTTGACTCTCAGCTTCCATACTTCCAGCCGAGGATCACAGTAATAAAATCTACCCCATGAAGGTGTGAGGGTTAAAGAATGTGACACTGGAACCGAATGCTGATGTGAACCAAGTGCTAAGGGTGGTGTGGGCTTTGGAAGGAGTATGGGAGGGGAGAGAAGAGGAGTGGAAGGGAGGGGGAGAAGGGGAAGAGAAGGGAGCCTGCTAAGAACTGGCCACCAGCCCAGGGTGCACAACCATCTCAGAGAAAGGCAGAGCTGATGGCCCTACCTGAGGCCATCTGCAGGAGCCTGCTCTGCCAAATACCCTCACACACCAGCTCTTATCTATTTAACCTCACCCCTAGGCACCTAGCAGCATTGCTCTGTGTATACCAGGGAAGGAGGCCCTGAAGGCTCCAGGGGACACCCAGACCAAGGTCCTACCTTAGGCTGGCAGCTGACTAGCAATGCACTTTGGGGTTCCAAAGACTGCTGTTTCAGCACCCACCCCACAATCCCCTTCCCTGTATATCCCAGCCCCTGTGCCTGGGGCCCAGTTGCAGACAGCTCAGCCACCTCCACCCCCTGCCCCTGCTGCTCCCCATCCCCTCCCCGCAGTCTCACATATGGCCCGCACCTGGTCTCCAGGGGGATGTTGCTGTTGAGTAGCCAGTTGTCCTGAGCATGTGCCGGTGGCTCTGGCGGGGCCCCACCGCTGGTTGGGGGCTCTCCAGAGAGCGAGTGGTCCGTGGGAGCTGGGCTGGGGTTGCTCCTGGGAGTGAAGTTGCCCCGGTTCAGGGAATTGATGGAGGCCGCGTGGTGCTGGTTGGGGGTGTGGGCGTGCGAGAGTGGAGGTGGTGGTGTCCGGAGCCGTGGGTGGTTCTGCAGGCCGCCAGGGTGATCTAGGGCACAAACAGGCATGGTCATTATCCCTGGGCTGGAGAAGCAGACTCCAAGGGTCTGAGCAAGACCATGCTGGATGGAGTGCGGCTCTTCAGGTTTTGTAAAGAGTACCCAGCCAGGTGGGTGCGTAGTGCTTATGCAGCAGGCGACCCAGCACTGCTTCCGTTGGGAGCTGGAGCTGCATCTAAGAGCAAAACACAGACATTCCCTTCTCCAAGAAAGCATTCCATGAAGAAGCTGGGCCAACTTCACTTTGTTTCTTTCCTACTTGGAGGCCGTGGGTTTTCCAGGGTGGCCCCACAGCAGCATTTTCCATGTCACCAGGGGACTTGCGGAACTGTGCCTCAGAGCTGCTGGATCAAAGACCTGGGGTGGGACCCAGTCGCCCCTTTTCCCAAACCCTCTAGGGGATCACTGGGGAATATTTGACTAGGTACAATGGCGCAAGTGGAGTGACGCACACAAAGTAAGGAATGGTTTCCTGTGATGGTGAGCCATCTAAGAACATGGGAAAGCAGGACAGGGATGGTGGCCTGTGGATGTGGGGCAGTGACTGTCTCAGAGCTGATACCCCGTGAGTACCATAAGCTTTGGCGGTGCCTGGGTGTTTAAAAGCCACTGATGGCATTTGCTGAGCATCTGCTCTAGGCTGAATGTTCTTCAGCATTCTACAGGCAGGCGCTGTTTTACAGATGCAAAGACTGAGATAAGTGCCGTATTTACTTCTTCAGTTACTTGAAGCAACAGGCATCATTGTCACCGATTTGGGGCTGCAGCATTAAGACAAATATGCTGAGGGTATGTGGCTAAAGCGGGTGTTTGCTACAGAGAAGTAAACAAAATACAGTTTCTGGTGATGACCATGAGGAGGTGAGCCCAGAGATGTTGCCTTAGCTCCCGTTCTCCTCACTATCCCATCCCCTAGGCTCTGTTGTAGAGGGCTGGGTCTTTCAAAGCTGAATCTTCCACAGGTAAGAAAGCCCAGAAACAAGATGCAGGGCCAGATTCTGCCTCCTAAGCACCAGGTGATGGCGGACAAGCTGCGTCACCCCAAGTTTCTAAGCTCTATGGCAGGACAGTTTGGGATGGGGATCACAGGGCCACGGTGAAACAAAACAGGCCATCACGCAGGAGACTTTGCTGAGGCGCCCGGCTTATAAAGCATCTGGCTTCCTTCGCTCTGCCGAAAACCGAGCATTGTGAAAAGGAGAGTCGGGGGGGATGGCATTCAGACAGAGGTAGACGTGGTGCTCTTCCTGCCGTCAAGAGACAGCTTTCTGGAAACCATCACGCACAGCCACGAGTGAGGCACTATCAGTGCTGCCGGGATTGTTAGTGGGAGATGTACCACTCTGCTTTTTAGGTAATCCGATCTTTTTATGCCAAAGTGCTACAGAGCAGATCTGGCAGAGGATTCGAGGAGGAAGGGGAAGTGGGGGTGGCAGAGAGAGAAATAGAAACCCTGTGAGCAGCTCAAGTCCTTGTTACGAGCTGCTACTTCCCAGCTCAAGGCACACACTGGGCCCACAAAGCTCTCTGGAATCCGATCCGCAGGCAGCCCACCTCACTGCTCTCCAATTCTACTCCGTCCACTCCTGGCACCCTTTCCTCTCTCTTCCCAACCGGGGGCCGGGGAGCTGCTCAGACAGTTCAAGGGGCTGAATCCCTCCCGCCTCCCTGTGCCATTCTGATGAGGGTCCCCCCACAACCCCCAGGAAGGCCACACAATGGGAACAGTGCCATTTGAAGATAGGCTGTGGCCCAGAAGGGAACTGCTGGTGGAGGGGACACTTGATGTAGCCTGTCCAGGCAGAGGTTCTTGCCCAGAAACAGATGGCCTTGGGCCAGGGGCAAGGTACAGGGTCCAGCATTCCCTGAGTCATTCTTGGGCAGCACGTGAATGGAGACGGAGCCAGAGGCAGAAGGCAGTAGTCCCTGCCCGCCCTTAACCTGCCCTGATGCCAGCTGGAGCGCAGGGGCCCAGGGCACGGAGAGGAGTGAGTGAACGCCTCCTGCCCATGGTTGTTAAGAGGTCAGCAAAGAAGGATGATGTAGTCATTGCTTCTGCCCCACCCCAGGTGTGAACCTCCATGTGGTATTTTGCTTCTTGGGTCTCAGTAGTTGCTGCCCTGTACCCACCTACTGGAACACCTACTGTGTGTGTGCTTTCATAGCCTCAGCTTCTCTGACCCTCACAACAGCCCCTGCAGGTGAGTGTTGGTATCCTTCCCATTTTACAGATGGGAAAGCTGAGGCACGCAACGGATAGTGAGCAGTGACATCTGTCTACCCAACACAGACCCTGGTACTGCACTGTCTCAGTCGGTAGCCCAGGGTGGTCAAAGGACACCCAGTGAACAGCACCTGCTGTCCCAGCTGCAACCTGCAGATGTTTGCTCTGTGACTGAGGGGGGCGGACACCAGGCTCAGGCTGGCTGGCTGGCTAGGAGGCACTGTTGAGAGCACTGGAATGGTGTGATGTTCAGTACAAGATCCCTTGTCAGAGATCTATAACTTCTTGAAGGAGATCCTTACTTCACCTTCCCCGTGGAGACACAGAAGGTGCAGGTGCTTGCCTCCCTTACCCTGTTCCAACCTGAGCACCCTCAGAAAGGGCCCCTTGGTGCTCCCCAGGTTCCCGAGGGAAGAGCTCTGCATGGGCAACCCAGCAGTGGGAGCCTCCCATCACACCACTGCTCACCTTGGCTGGCAAACTGCTTCCCAGTAGGGGCTGGGCTGGGGGAGAACCACAGAGCAGAAAAGCTGCTTGGAAGCCCCAGCATGCACTCCCCTCTTGTGCGGATCTCCAATGTTCTCGTGCGGATCTCCAATGTTCTCGTGCTGCAGTTACAGAGTGCCTGCTCCGTGCCAGGTCTTGTAAACCAGGCTCTGGGAATGAGACCTCTCAGGAGAGGGGTGTGGTTTAGGAAGCAGTGCTCTTCTGGTTTCTGTTTACTGCTGGGTGACCTCCAGCAGCTCACTTCCCCTCCTTGCTGGGTGCATTTGTCAAAGGCGATTCCCTCTCTTTCTTCCTGGAAGGTGGGGAATCTTGTGCTCAAGAACCAAACACACAGCAGGCTCAACTGAGCCCTGAGGCATAGTCCATGAGCTTTGTGGCAGAGCCTAGCTAGGCCCACTGGACATGTCCACACGAGTGGCTACATCTATCCTGCTTGCTGGGAGTAAGCATCGGTCTGTGCACAACGCTGTGCTGTAAATGCCAATTTACACCCTTGTCTCACAGCTACAGCAACAGCTACCAAGCAGATCTCTGAATTAAGCCCAAATGTGAGTCATTTCACTGTTATTTCTATGTGGGGCTCTCAGTAAAGGCCACTTGCTTATCTGAGTTCTGCAAGTTTGGTTTTCCAGGAAGGTATTTTTTTTTTTTTTGTTACCTACAAGTTTTCAGATATATTCGTAGCTCCTGGTGCCCACTTTCATTTTTATATGCACAAAAATCCTGAGCAGCACAGCCTCCTGGCATGCTCTCATTGCCCAACATCACATCGGAGCTCCTCCACAGAGTGCAAAGAATGAGATGGTAGGGAAGAAGAGCAGAGGGATAAGAGAAAGGGACAAGACGTTGGTGTTGGTGTTAGTGTTGGGAGGCTCTGGGTTCACCTTCTGTCTTTGTAAGCTGTGTGACCTTGGTCAATTCAGTTATCTTCCCCAGAGCTTCAGGATTCTTATCACTACAGGGAGATAAAGTTCCCCTTCTAGAGTTGGAATGAGAATTAGATGAGATGTAAGGTGTTTAGGTTGCAATATAATAATTCTAAAACATGGGAACTCTTAATTCCACAAGTGCAATAAGGCCTGTTTGGTAAGTCAGAGAGCACTATATTGTCACCATGGTGATCATTCCTCGGCATTTACAACAAAGTGACAAACCTTGAGCAAGAGGAGGGAAAACAAAGGAAGCATGAGCTTCTTTTGGTGCAGCTGAGTCCTGCTCTGCAGACCCACCAGCTCCCAGGGCCCTGGTCTCAGGGGGATGTACATCAGAGGCAGGGAAGGATGGCGGCGGGCCTGGCCCTCAGAACACCACCAGGCACTTGGGGCATTCACGCATTCAGAGAGGAAGAGTTATTTCCACATGGGAAAGGCAGGTACAAGGGAACCAGGAAGTGCCTCCCAGATCCTTGGTTCTCTGGCCTGGGTTGAAGGTGAGCCACCAGAAAATGACCCCGGATCTTGGACCCATCAACAACAGCAAACAGCCCTTTGTTATATATAGGGATCTGGTAGATTATAAAATAAGGTTGAGGTCTGGCCTTGAAAAGTAGCCAGAATGTGGGGACAGGTAACAATAAAATGTACAAGTCTCCTAGAACCAGGCTCAGTCTTAGCTGTCTAAGCTGTGTGATTTGGGACAAGTCCATCAATTCCTCTGAGTTTCTACAATCCATGAATAAGAAGTGTAGATAATAGTTGCAGAAAATAAAGGGGGGGGGGGAAGAGAAGGAATATGGGTTATTATGGATTCAATTTTCAGAAATTTAGAAATAAAATAGATATTACCCTCAACTTTAGGATGCTTGCAGTCTAGTAGAGAAAATAGATGCCCAGAAACTCCAAGTATACTCTCAAAAGTTCAAAGAAAAGAAAATTGAATTTATGTGGTGCCAAAAACATTGGAAACCATGCATGGCTGTTTCATGAAATGTGCCATGAATATTTTGAAGGCCCTTCATGTGCAAATTGGTCATTACCAGGGGGTTGTATATCACCAAGTACCACAGTTAACATTTATTGGGCACCCACTGTATGCCATAAGCTTCCTAACTGCTTTATGTAGGCCCTGTGGGACCTTGTTAAGAAGGTGATGTCGTTGCACCCCCTTTCTGTAGAGGAGACAATGGAGACACACGACCCCTGAGTAATTTGCACCACATCAGAAAATCAGCCGGGCGGGCAGCAGAATCTGCAACAGGCAGCCTGGCTCTAGAGCTGCACTTTGAGGCATTCTACTTTGCTAGCCTAAGTGTGATAATAT